ATTATTAGGAGTAAGGGCTGTAATTAGTAAAGATGAGGATAGAGGCTAATTCAGCTGTATACAGGACATTCTTATTCAGCTGACTTCCACTTACACTCTTTGCTCACAACATAGAAAACCCAGAATATTTTTCTCTCCAACTCAGTGTTAATTTACAACTTTTCTGCATTTTCACATGGCAAAGAATGATGGGTGTCTGAATTGCAGGCTAATTGAGTGGTTATTTTTTTCCTGATGGCATGAGGGGCGATATAAGTTCATGTTCTGACCTTTCCCATGTTAACTAACCACTACGGTCATTTCACAGCTTGTCCTCTGCCATTAAATCCAGTCACCACTGGGTGGCTCATGTACATTGTGCAATGTTGTGATTGTTGCTATATCACTTTGTATAACCCTGGCACCGAATCATACAGGAGACTGTGTCATTCAAATCCACCTGACCAATAAAAGGCTCGCCGGGGGTGGGAAAGGGATTTGTAAAGTTTATTTTTGTGAAACCTGCTTAAGGGATCACCCAAGATACTGACAAAGATCCGTTCCATAAAGGAGGTGGAATAGATTTGTATCTGATACGCCTGGGGATGTCTTTGGACTGGTCCCTTAAGACAGCAGGTATCTAACAAGGGGGGGGTCGCTTGTACAAAAGACACTGTCTTTGTATTTCAATATAACAATAGGAGTGCAGAGTGGTTCACAGACATAGAAGTCAAGATCCTTGCCAAAAATCTGTATTGAAGTCAGGCAAAACACATGATAAACAATGAAAACAGATGGGGAGGGGGCAGGGAGTGAAAAGACAATGGAAAACAATAGGAGATGGCATTTGCTGATGGGGGAGTGTTGGTTTTGTTATGTTAGATTCTTAAAAGGCCTCTACATGCTAAACAAGAATTTCAGCCAGGGAGCTTAAATTCATAACTTTGCTAGACACTAAAATTCATGGCTTCAATAAAGACACTGGACTTGTGGCTTATTGCAACAATCTGTAACCTACTAAACTCCCTTTTGTGTCCTATGACTGCACAGGTGTTAACAGGTCACTTCACCTCTTACAATATGTGTTAACTGCTTATGCTAAGCAATCCCTTCCACCTTGTATTTAGCTGTGACCCTCGGGTTACTTTTCCCAGCCCCAAAGAAGAGCTCTGTGTAGCTAGGAAGCTTGTCTCTTCCACCAGTACAAGTTGGTCCAATAGTTTGAAGATATGACCTCAGCCACCTCATCTCTCTAGTATCCTGGGACCAACACGGCTACAACCCCACTGCCAACAAGACTCTATTTGTCATCTGAGGGTATGTCTACACTGTAATTGGGGAGTGTGAATGCAGCATGTGTAGACATCCCTGAGCTTTGATCTAGCATAGGAGGCAGCCATTTGAGTATGGTCCTGGGCAGGTCAGGCTAGTCTGTGCAGCCACAGCTTCACTGCTGTCGTTATTTGAGCTAGATCTGATCTAGCTAGTGCAGAGCTATGTCTACACATGCTGCAATCACACCTGATTCCAACGTGGATATAGCCTGAGGAGCTAAGGTGCCAGGGTGGTGGTGCATGGGGCTGGTGGGAATCTAGAGGGAGAAGTTCCTCAAAGGGAATTCTACGTGGCTGGACAAGACAGTGGATAGGAGGGTGGTAATAACAGCAGGCGGATGATGTGACTAGGAGGACATTCTCAGGCAGCCAGCAGCTCGGGTAGTGGAGTCCTTCTTACAGTGTGGTCCATGCACCTTCAGTAGTGCATGAAGCCCTTTTTAGTGTACCCAAGAGCAGACAGAAAACTCCTTGGGGAAGGTTGAAGAGTAGCTGGGCCATCCTGGGACTGCTTGCTTACAAACCCGTCTGCAACTTGAGAGCCCAATGCTCTGAGGTTTTGCGTGCCTTTAACCCCTATTAAATGCAATGGGTGTCCAGTGCAGTTGGTGCGTCCCAGGGTCGGGCCCCAGAAGAACGGAAGAACGCTGTGTAACAGTTTGTCAGGGTTTGCCTGAAACTCCTCCCCTTCTCCCCGGGTGTTGGTCCTGTTGGGGAAGGGGTAAGTGGGTTCTGTTGACTCACTAAGGCCAGGAGCTCATTAGCCCACCCAGAGGTGAGGATGCTGGGAGTGGCTATGTGGGGAGAGAGGATCTGTGGTGTGGGCTGAGCAGTCCAGAGAGAGGAGCCCAAAGAGCAGCCGGGTCTGGGGAGCCGGCTGGAGATGGATTTTATGTTAATGTCTTAGTTAATAAAACCCAGGGATGGGGAGATGGGTGAGTTTGGATGTTGCATAATGTGTGGCCTGTGTTTGCAGAGCAGGTTGGGTTGGGGAAGGCTCCCGCTTGCACACTGGGTTGGTTGGCAGAAGGACAATATCAGGGCTGCCCGTGAATGAACAGGGTTGCAGGAAGGAGCCAGGTATTCAGCAAATACACTGGGCTGTATCCCTGTTTCCCGCACCTTGCAAATAAGTTGTGGGGGGACAGGACTGGAGTACTCTTTTTCAAATGTGCATTGGCTGGATTATTAATGTGGGCTCCTTGTCCAAACTCTTTCTGGGAGTTCAGCTACTTTGTCCATTTATATAGTAACTGGGGAGGTGTTTGTCAGCCTGTTTTTGGTTTGATAGGGGAATGGCGGTGGGCAAACCCCCTGGAATATGTTGCAGTGTCTCACAGAGCAAGGAGACAGCATGGTGACCCGAAGCCCTGAAAAGCCAGAGAACGCACGAGTAGCAAGACACCGTTCACTGCACATGGAGTGTTGCATTCAGTTTTATTGCCTCACTTACAAAGACAACTGAGGAAAAGGTGAGGGTGAAAGTATCTATCAAGAATATTCATGCAACCAGTACATAGCCGCAGTGCAAAGCTAAGGGCCAGAGAGGAGCAAGAAGCCATCATTTAGACAAGACATTAGAAATGATAAGTGAGAGCTATTGTGTTACTGGATAAAATTCATCCCTGTGTGTCCTTTAAATGTGACTGAGTCCACACTGATGTCAATGTGATTGACTTCAAACGGGCCAGGATTTCACTCTCAGGGCTTAAGCGGAACGTAAGTGGTGTACACACTTTGGGCTCACGCTCTGCCTGTCCTAACAGGAGCCCAGCAGACATGAAAGAAACCTCAAGTTATATTGGGTGTCAAAAGTAAGAGGGTCAAAAATGTACAGCAGCAAACCCCCAGTGTGGCACTGGTCCAGGTTTTCCTGTCACTTACCCTGGCATAAGTGAGAGCTAACTCCAGTTCACGTAAGATCAGTGTGAGCGAGAGGAGAACCAGGCCAGCTGTATCCCAAGTAGTGAAGTCTTAGCAGCATATTGTACAAACCAGTTCATACAGTCTCAGCCTCACATCCAAGCGCAGCACCCAGCTAAGTGTCACACTGAAGTGGGGGTGGGGGATTCTGGTTCTGATCGGGAGATACAAATTGACAGAACCAGGCGGTAGATAATGCAGAAGGAATTGATGCTGTCTGGGCTTAAATTTCACTTCAGAAATAATCATTCCTTATCCCAGCTCCAGGCTCAAATAAATCACGCAAGGTGAAATTCACTCCTGTGTGACATAAACGTGCCTGGGTCTTGTAAGTGCCCTTGGCCTAGGGGTCAATTTTACCTAACGTCTCCATCCTTATCCCTTAGAAGAACCCATTCCCAAAGCAGACAGAGCCAGATTCTCAGCTGGGTTGAATCAGAAGAGCATCATTCAAGTCAGTGGCATCAACTGCGGGTCTGGGCTAATATCAACTTAGGCCTTGTTAGATAAAGCGCTCTCAGGTTGCAATGTTTCACTTTCCTGCCCTTGACAAACCACCACTGTGCTTTCAAAATTCTCCTTGCCCAATTTCCTGCTCTCTGCTTGAGCAAAATTCTCCGACTTGAGTTGTGCTTCATTAAAGAAAATGTCTTTCCCGCCTCACACACTCATACCCGACTGGTGCAGCTCATTGCTTTCAAGAGCCAGTATGAGACAGAAGGTGTAACTCCCTGGTCACAATTTGCAGATGACTTGAAAACGGAGGGAATGGTAAATAACAAAGAGGAGAGGTCACTGATTCAGAGCAATTTGGATCGCTTAGTAAACTGGTTGCAAGCAAAAAAGCATGTATGTTAAAATGGCTAAATGTCAATGCATATATCTAGGAACAAAGGCTGCGGGCCATACTTACAGGATGGGGGACTCCATCAGGGGAAGCGGTGACTCTGAAAAAGTTTGGGGGGTTCTGTATTTGGCCCTGGTGCAAGTACTGTTGGAATCCCATGTCCAGTTCTGGTGTCCACAGTTCAAGAAGGATGTTGATAAATTGGACAGAGTTCAGAGAAGAGCCACGAGAATGAGTAAAAGATTGGAAAACGTGCCTTAGAATGATAGACTCAAGGAGCTCAATTTATTTAGCTTAACAAAGAGAAGGTCAAGGGGTGATTTGGTCACACTCTACAAGTACAGTCATGGGGAACAAATATTTAATAAAGGGCTCTTCAGTCTAACAGAGGAAGGTCTAACATGATCCAACGGGTGGAAGTCAAAGCGAGATAAATTCAGTCTGAAAATAAGATGTACAGTTTGAACAGTGAGAGTAATTAACTGTTGGAACAATGGACCAAGGTTTGTAGTGGATGCTCCATCGCTGACAGTTTTTAAATCAAGATGGGATATTTTTGTAAAAGATCTGCTCTGAGGATTATTTGGGGGCCTTCTCTGAGTTCAGCCTAGCTGATCACAATGGTCCTGTCTGGCTTTGAATCTCTATGCATCTATGAAAGCGTCTGCTCCCCCGCTGTCAAATCAAATGCCAATACATTAGGGGACAAGCCTGGGTGCTACACCAGCTGAGAGCTTGTTCCCTAATGTATTTTATAGACAGTAGCAGGAAAACACTGCAGGAGAGGTTTGGAGCCATAGCAAAGAGGCTGTGCAGAGAAAGACCATGCCCTGATCACCAGCAGTAAGTGCGCACTAGGGTTACTTGGATTTGTATTGCATTTTCTGCCTCAGTTACACAAGGAGCCATTTTGGCCCTTACTTCTTTGATGGCCACCAGTGAGGAAAGGGTAGTGGTTTCTGATAATGCCAGGAGTACAGGCACTGAGATGATTTAGAGGCTTGTCCTGCAGCAGGTTCTCTTGGGTCCTGAACACCTTGGTTTCGCTGCTGTGTTGGTGGAAGTTCTGTCTCGCTATGGCTCAGGTCCTGCTCTGGTATCTGGGGCTCCAGGTCCTGATGGGGGCTTGGGTCCCGCTCTGGTATCTGGGGCTCTGAGGCCTGACGGGGACTTGAGTCCTGCTCCGGCGTTTGAGGCTCTGGGGCCTGACGGAAGCTCGGGTCCTGCTCTTGTGTCTGGGGTTCCAGCACTTGATGGGGGCTTGGGTCTTGCTCTGGTGTCTGGGGCTCCGGGGCCTGACAGGGACTCGAATCCTGCTTTGGTGTTTGAGGCTCGGGGGCCTGATGGGAGCTCGGGTCCTGCTCTGGTTTCTGGGGCTCTGGGGCCTGACGGGGACTTGGGTCCCGCTCTGACATTTGAGGCTCCAGGGCCTGATGGGGACTCGGGTCCTGCTCTGGTGTTTGAGGCTCGGGGGCCTGATGGGGGCTTGGGTCCTGCTCTGAAATCTGGAACTCTGGAGCCTGACGTGGGCTCAGGTCCCTCTCTGGTGTTTGAGGCTCCGGGGTCTGATGGGGACTCGAATCCTGCTCTGGTGTTTGAGGCTTGGGGGCCTGATGGGGGCTTGGGTCCTGCTCTGAAATCTGGAACTCTGGAGCCTGACGTGGGCTCAGGTCCCTCTCTGGTGTTTGAGGCTCCGGGGTCTGATGGGGACTCGAATCCTGCTCTGGTGTTTGAGGCTTGGGGGCCTGATGGGGGCTTGGGTCCTGCTCTGAAATCTGGAACTCTGGAGCCTGACGTGGGCTCAGGTCCCTCTCTGGTGTTTGAGGCTCCGGGGTCTGATGGGGACTCGAATCCTGCTCTGGTGTTTGAGGCTTGGGGGCCTGATGGGGGCTTGGGTCCTGCTCTGAAATCTGGAACTCTGGAGCCTGACGTGGGCTCAGGTCCCTCTCTGGTGTTTGAGGCTCCGGGGTCTGATGGGGACTCGAATCCTGCTCTGGTGTTTGAGGCTTGGGGGCCTGATGGGGGCTTGGGTCCTGCTCTGAAATCTGGAACTCTGGAGCCTGACGTGGGCTCAGGTCCCTCTCTGGTGTTTGAGGCTCCGGGGTCTGATGGGGACTCGAATCCTGCTCTGGTGTTTGAGGCTTGGGGGCCTGATGGGGGCTTGGGTCCTGCTCTGAAATCTGGAACTCTGGAGCCTGACGTGGGCTCAGGTCCCTCTCTGGTGTTTGAGGCTCCGGGGTCTGATGGGGACTCGAATCCTGCTCTGGTGTTTGAGGCTTGGGGGCCTGATGGGGGCTTGGGTCCTGCTCTGAAATCTGGAACTCTGGAGCCTGACGTGGGCTCAGGTCCCTCTCTGGTGTTTGAGGCTCCGGGGTCTGATGGGGACTCGAATCCTGCTTTGGTGTTTGAGGCTCGGGAGCCTGATGGGAGCTCGGGTCCTGCTCCGGTTTCTGGGGCTCTGGGGCCTGACGGGGACTTGGGTCCCACTCTGACGTTTGAGGCTCCAGGGCCTGACGGGGACTCGGGTCCTGCTCCGGGTTCTGGGGTTCCAGCACTTGATGGGGGCTTGGATCCCGCTCCGGCGTTTGAGGCTCGGGGGCCTGATGGGGGCTCGCGTCCCGTTCTGAAATCTGGAACTCCGGAGCCTGACGTGGGGTCGGGTCCCTCTCTGGTGTTTGAGGCTCCAGGGCCTGACGGGGGCTCAGGTCCTGCTCTGGTTTCTGGGGTTCCAGCACTTGATGGGGGCTTGGGTCCCGCTCCGGCGTTTGAGGCTTCAAGGCCTGATGGGGGCTCGGGTCCTGCTCTGGTGTTTGAGGCTCGGGGGCCTGATGGGGGCTCGGGTCCTGCTCTGGTGTTTGAGGCTCAGGGGCCTGATGGGGGCTCGGGTCCCGTTCTGAAATCTGGAACTCCGGAGCCTGATGTGGGGTCGGGTCTCGCTCTGGTATCTGAGGCTCCTGTGCGTGCTCCCCACACTTTGCTTCTCCCTGGGATGCTGAGCGTCCACCGTGGCCTGGTCGCTGACCCTGGCTTACTTCCCTGTAACAAGCCTTGGCCACTTGGAACACCAGCACGAGAAACCCGCTGAAGTCAAGTCTGCCATCACTGTCAGTGTCCAGCAGCTGCAGCATCTTGTCTATGGTCTGGAGACCCGGGGGGACCTGCAAGGAAACAACACCCCGACCAAAACCTGTTAACCCTTCAAATATTCTCCAGTTAGAAACAACAAGCCAGCTCGGTTGTAATGCCCGGGTGTAATGCCTACACTTATGGCGGGGTGTAGATTACAGACATCCACATCCAGCTAACATGGGTCTAAAGAGCAGTGTAGCCTGTGAGGCCTGTCTTAGGCAAGTAGAATAGAGTGCCCTACACCCCTGAACCCCCACAGCTCTCTCCACACCCACACTGTGCCTCCCACTGCTGTCTCTAGCAGAGTGTCTTGCTGCCCCCCCCCCCACTGCTGTGGCCTTTGCCCCTGCTGTGAAAGGCACCGGCGGTGAGGAAAGGCTCCGGCGGTGGGGACGCAGTGGGGAAAGACTCTGGCAGCTCCCCGCTGCTGGAGCCTTTCACTGCGGCATGTAGTTACACGTGTAATGCCTCTGCACGCCACTGTAAGTGCCGGCATAGTCTCAGGGCGAAATGGCCCGACAGTTTGGACTATGGAGGTGTGAATTCCCCAGAAAATCCAAGAGCTGCGCTGTAGCTCCCCTGCATGGATGCTGCAGGCACGTGCAAAAAGGTTCCTAGTTCGCATTAGCGGGATCCACGTCAACGGGAAAGGGAAATGCTGAGAAAAAAATCCCTTCAGAAAATTCTGTTTCAGAGTGAAATTTTCAGTTTGAAATGTATTATATTTTTTCCTTTTTTACATTGGTTTTATGATTTGCACGTTATTTCATGACATGTCAGCAGCCGTTGTGCATAATAACGCATCTCATAGCATGTCATGTCATCGTATGACATAATGGTCAAAATATTTATTTTATTTTAAAATATGTTCAGGGCAGCTGCTCCTTAGCACAGATTGAAACGTCCCTTCTTTACCAGCTCAGCCTGTCAAACTGTTTCATTACGACACAAACCGGAGAACAGACTCTTGTGCAGTCTCTTACATCAGTTCCCAAACAAAAACACATGCGTCCTAGAAGAGACACTCGTTGCATAGACCTTCCCCCTCCTCACTCCTGAGCCTAGTAACTAGCACAGGGATCATGGCAGTGCTCACCACAGTCACATCAGTAAACTCCTTGCAGATAAGCTGCCTCAGCTCCCCCTTGCTCAACGTGGGGCAGGCGCCATCCTTCTTTGCGGACACGTAGAAAGCATTGATAATGCCTTTGATATTGCTCAGCAGCTGAGTCATCTCCCTACACGTTCTAGTGAGCCTGGAAGAGAGGAACAGACATAATTTTTCCCCAGTGACACTAAACTCAGGTTTAATCTCAGATCCCACTTGGATGTGCATGATGGAAACAACGAAGTGGCTAAACGCATGGACTAATGAACAGTCAAAAAGATGGGTAGGTGGAGAGGTGGATGCCTGGATGAGCAGACAAATAGATAATGCCTAGCTGAGCATATGGAGAGCTTGATAGATGGGCAGCACCATGGATGCATGGCTGGAGAGACAGATAGATAGATGCCTGGACTGGTGGCTGGAGAGCTAGACAGATCAATGGATGGCTGGAGAGGTGGATGGATAAACAATTGGTGAGATGGAAGGATAGTTGGAGGGATAGACAGATGGATAGACAGTTGGTGAGGTGGAAGGATAGTTGGAGGGATAGATGGAGAGATTGACAGTGAGATGGATGGAGCGTTGGAGGGATAGATAAATAGCCCCCTTTCCTCATTTATCTTTTTGCTTCTGACCACAGATTAAATACAGTCGATTGTTATTTCTAATTCATGGTCTGCTACAGTCACTGGTTGGAAAAAACAAATAGAGACATTCCTTTAAGACAGCTCGGCACTGATACATCCAGGAACCTGTTCCTCACTTATATCGGTCCTGGTTTACTACCACCAATAACATTCAACATCTGTGAAAATAACAAGATCCCCGGTATCCAGACTTACCTGGTCCAGTAACAAGAAAAGTGCAGTAGAATAGTTTGGAGTGGAGCAGAGATCTTATATAGGGTTCTTAATCATACCCTGTGTATCTGCCAAAGGCGACACTCTCGACGTGCAATGGCCTGATTCATTTCTAAGCAGTTCAGCTTTCCCCCTCTGCGGCTTTATTTATCTCTCACTTCTGTTGTCCTGATTTGCTGCACCAGCGACTGCAGAATATGTCTAACGCTAGCCCCACCCTGGACGCCTTGCCAAGGCATTTTACAGAAAGGCTACTTTTAATTTTGCTTTAGGTGTCACCCAGAAATGTCTCTGAATTTCTGTGGGGCAAACCTGTTTTGCAAGGATCAGCTTCTCAAAGTGATGGGCTTTAGGTGGAGAAGCAGGGGAAGAAGCCACACATAACATAAAGGAATATGCTGTAAAATATATTCCTTAGGGGACGTTCTCTGGCCTATGTCACACTGGAGGTCAGACAAGATGATCACCAGGGTCCCTTCTGGCTTTGGAATCTGTGGAATATTTTTTGAAAAGCGATTGTGATATTAAAGTGACGGGAATCGTTTTTTTATGAGCGGGTTAAACCCAACTACTCTCCTCCTACTGCTATTGTGCTTTCGGTCTCTGAGCGCAAAATATGACAGCGTTAGTTCATGTAAACTCTGCCTGTGGCTGTAGGTGCCTTGTTGTTAGGACCACACAGCTGTGTGCGTGCCGTGGAGGGGAAATGTTGTCAGTGACACTCTTCTGCATAAGTGTCTGTGTGTGTTGGGGGGTAAGTATCCTTTGGATCAGTCTTCTGAGTGCGTGTGCATAGAGGGGTAGGTGTTAACACCCTATCTGTGCTTGTTGAGGGCGGTTAGTCTGGTTAAAAATGCTCCTCTGGGTGTGTGGTGAGTATCATTTAAAAGATTTCTTATTTGGGCTAACTTTGAACCTGCCTGAACATTGTAGATTTAAAAATTTGATGCTGACACATTGAAGAAGGAGCAGAAAGGGGCAGAATTAAAGACAAACACAGAACCACCCCCATCCTGGTAACGATATTCATTTGAAATTGACACGGCACCTCTCCCCCCCAGGCACTTTTAAGAGAAGCCGAAATGTCAGAGTTAAGTCCCCTACTTGCTCCCTTCTGTTCTGTGAGGTCAGGTCTTCACTGAGGGCCCACTCCTGTGATGGGTTACTCAGAGTAGCAAACGCTGCTCCTGGCAGTAAGTGTTTTCAGGATCAGGCGCTCTACACTTGGATCTGTGCAGGTCGACCAATGCACCTGCACATGTGAGAATGCAGGATCAGGTCCTTTGAGTGCAAGCTGTTTGGAATAGGGCCATGCCGTTTGATGGCTGGGAAGTGCCTAAGGCACTAAATAAATAAATGACAATGATAGTAATTAATATTACAGAGGAGCGGGGGTGGGGGTGAGAGAAAATGTCTATTGAAGAACTAAATACAATCTATAGATTCCACCACATATAGGGCAGCCACTTAACATGTAGGGAAAAATCGATCCCTCATTTACAGCACTTGCCATAGCAGGCAATGCGGCCTAGTGAATCAGACCCTTGCCTAAGAGATATGAGATCTGGCTTCTAGTCCTAGCTCTGCCATTACCTAATATATAATCCTCTGTAAATCTCTTGCCTTCTGGTTCCTCTCCCATCCTTTGTCTATTTAGATTGCAATCGCTTTAAGGCAGGGACTGTCTCTTGCCAGGTTTTTTTACAGCTCCAAGCCCAATGGGCCTATGATCTCAGGTGGTTACTTTAGGCACTGCTGTAATAGAAACAATAATTACAATGTCAATCAGAAGGCAGCAGAGGTATCTGAGGGCAGAATTTGGCCAGTGGTATAGAGAAGAATTATTTTTGGTTTAGCATTGGAGAAATAAGGGGATTATTTCACTATGCACTAGGGTTGATTGTGGAAGGATGCATCTTTCTGTCTTTCCCCTGGGAGCAGGTTATATGGTCAACCTATATTTCATGTCCCTTCCTGCATAGGTGTTTTGGGATTAGCTACATATGGCTAAAATACTTGTTCCAGCGTCATTGAATTGTTCTCATTGTAACTGTCATGAAAACTTAACATTCAAAATTACCGTCTCCCAAGGATATCATTAGCATCAAGGTGGGGTGTAATTAACACCCTGTGGGCAATTGGACTCATGGAGGTGTGTTCAAACAGTGTCATTCACCTGGCTTCTTCCCATGGGGCCTGTGGAGTATTCTGTGGTTTTACATCTTCCTTGTGCTGCATCTTCCTTGTGCCAGGACAGTCATTCTGAGCAAGGACTGTTGATCGAATAGGTGGTTAAAGTAAAGTAAAGTAAAGTAAAGTAACCACCCGAGATCATAGGCCCATTGGGCTTGGAGCTGTAAAAACACCCGGCAAGAGACAGTCCCTGCCCTAAAGCAATTGCAGTCGAAATGGACAAAGAATTTTGTACTGTATCTGGTTCCAGACCCTAACACTGAGCTCCGACCAACTACGAGGCAAATGTCACTGCAGGCCGTGGGTCAGAGTCTCCAGCTGGATTCTCTGATGTGTTCTGTAGGCATTTATATCATGCCCTTTAAGGTGCTGGGTTCATAGTGCTGGAGAACAAAGCCCTCTGTATAGCCACGAAGCCCTCTGCACAGCCTGGGTAGAGGGAGAGTCAACTTCCCGGACCACCGATGGGGGCAGAGAGCAACAGAATCAGAACTGAGGCCTGTCCGCTGCAAACTACAGAGGCCTGTGCACAGGCAGGGAAACACAACTGTGGCTCCATTATTCACACTGCCCTGACGCCAGGAGTCGTTCAACTGAAGTCAACGGGCGTCTTTGTGGAATACGGTCCTGCTGCGTGGGGATGAGGGGCTGGCCTTTTGGTAGGAGAGGGCTAAGACTGTAAGGTCTTTGGGGCAGAGTCTGCCTTTATGTTCTGCGTTTGTCCAGCACCTCACACAGTGGGGCCCTGGTCTATGAGTGGAGTTCCTAGGATAGCCCCTAGGAACACAAATAAATAAATAATGATAATATAATACATTTAATGGCTTTAGCAGAGAACAGTGATACACGTGTTGAAAAGCAAGTTAACAGAGCCCTTTTCCCTCAGGCTCAATGCTGGGAATCTGGTGTCCAGTGGGTTCAAGGAAACAACCATAGTCCAGGCCATAAGAATAAGGGGGTTAGTGTGACTGGGTGTCTCACCTCTGCTCTCTGCTGGAGAGAATCAGAACTGCTTAACTATCCATCATAGGCCCCGTTCTGCTAGCACATAGCCAAAATGCTCCTTTAGCTCAAGTACCACGGGACTGTGGCCCGGATCCACAGATGTATTTAGGTGCTTAACTTCCACTTAAAAAGCTTGGTGGATCTTGGTGGCCTGTGTCTTTAGAGCAGAAGAAGTTGGCGAGCTATCCCGGAGACTCCAAGGGGCTGTGGGACGTAGCGAGAACCACGAAGGCCTAGATACCCATGGGTTTGTTATAATAAAACATTTGATTACTTCTGGGCCTCGCTAGCAAAGCATCCTAAGCATGTTCCAATGAAACAAACACTAATCAGACTGTAAGGATTTTAAGTCTTTTACCACACGTATTACTGAATGACGAGCATAAGGCACACCCCTTTGTTTAGCGTATCTGAAGCCAATGGTGGGGTGCAAATTATAACCTCTCTTTCTGGTGCACAGTGTGGCTGGCCATAATTCAAGCGTCTTCCTGGACAGACTTAACGGCGGCTTTTCAAAGAGTGCCACCAGCTGGGAGTTTCGATATATAGCAGCCAGGACTTTCAGCAGCCTGGCACACCTCAATGAGATCAGCTAAAGGCGGAGTGACAGCTGCCGACAGTGAAAAGAAATGAGGATAATAATAATGCTTAGCTCTTCCCACTCATAGATCCTGGAGGGCTGTTCAAAGAAAGATTAGTATAATTATTACAGGTGGGGAAACTGAGGCACATAGCAGGGAAGTGACTTACTCTCTCCATCAACAGCTCTGTTGTACTGTAGAGACATGGAATACGCTGGATCAAGCCTCCAAGAGCCAGCGTCAGCTGAAGCAAGCCCACTGTGCCCACAACGCAGACAGCAAAGACCGTGGCAATGTATCTCTTCTCCGAGCTGTTCCCTGTCCATTTGCTACCACTCTGCCAAGGCAGAACTCCCTCTAGGAGCAAGCAGAGAATTCATTCTCAATGGATATCAGTCTTCTGCCTTTCCACTTGGACTGTCCATACGGTTGCTACTGGCTTTTATAATGTGTCCATTTGTTCGCTGGGACCTGGAGTGAGTCCCAG